TTATCAAACTAGATCATACAGATTTCAATTGCGGATGAAGATATTTACAAATATGATTTTTGTACTAGATAAAGTCACTTTGTGTATCTAATAATGTCTTTTGATCTTAATAATACATCTACTATATTCATGAGATAGATAAACAATAGTTTTTGCCCTATTTAGACAAATTTGTGATTTTAATCTAGATAATAGTTTGTTATATAGCAAAATTTTGAATAATAATAGTCATCATTTACAAGAGTTACTTCAAGTTTTGGGAAAAAATGAATTATATCCCAAAGCTTCAAAGTGTGAATTTAGCAAATCAAAAGTGGATTATCTCGATCATAGATTCAACAAAGTTCCAGAGACATAGTGCATCCAATTTTGAGTTTTGAGCGTCGAGTTTCAAGATTTGAGTAGAGTAGAGTCAATTTTTTTGTGAGTTCGTTTTTCAAGCTTGGGTGTGCACTGGACCTGAAACTTTGTAAGAGCTTGGAGTTGGACATGACACATAAGCCAACAAAAACTCTGACCGAATGCAATTCGGAGCACGAAGTTGAAACATCTTTGAGGTTTGAGTTTTTGAGAGGGGAGGACCAAATCTTGCAGGCGCCGTAATTTTGAGTTGGAGTGTGAATGAAGCTTGAAGTTTTGTGGCATTGTGAAGTTAGGTAGGGCGCTATAGTTTGCAAATTTTTAGATTCAACGGAATTCTAGAGACAATGTGCATCCAATTTTGAGTTTTGAGCTCCGAGTTTCAAGATTTGAGGTGAAGTGAGACGATTTTTACGTGAGCTGTTTTATCCAAAAAAATTCAAATGACGAGTGAAAAGATAGAAGCTATTCAAAAATATACATCATCTAAAGATAAAAATTAACTTAAAAACTTTCTTAGATTCGTAGATTTTTATCTTAAACTTGTGAAAGTTTTTGTTTGTATAGCTCAAGCCTTGACATCTCTGTTAGGCAAAAGCCAAAATTGATTATGAAAAATAGCTCAAAAATTGGCTTCTTAGATCTTGAAAGATGCTTTGTTTAACGTCAAGTGATACAATCTAATTGATTTATCACATTGATTAATTATGCGTCAAATACAACAATGGATGGCATATTCCAACAAGAATGAAAGTATGGATGATATGCAATTGTTTTTTTTTTGCAAGTTGATGGCAACAGAATAGAATTACCACACAATAGAATCAGAAAAATTAGTCATTGTGTTGGCAACAAAACATTTGAAGCATTACTTGGATTATCATAAATATGTGATAAAGACCGATTACAAATCATTGATTTATCTGTGAATTCACGAGGATATCTTTAAATGACAAATTTGATGAAGAGAGTGAGTTCAGCGCTTCAACATGAAGATTGTTTATGTGGAGGGTAAAAAATCACTTTTCAATGCTTTCACACGCATGTTATATCTTAATCATGTTGCAGAAGTGAGAATTCACGCGGATTGATGGAAGAAAGTGAAACTTGTCACAAAGGAGAATGAAAAGATCATGAGAATACTACAATTTAGAAGGGCAAAAAATTTAGAGGTTTGGCTTTTTAAAAACAATGTATGTGGATTTCACTAGAGTTAGAATCATGCACAATAATTTTATCGGAAAGTCATGATATAACCGTTGCAGGCCATGTGGGAGTAGATAATATCTTGGAAAGCATCAACGAGTGTATTTGTGGTCTAAAATATAGAAGTATGTGAAGTCATATGTTCAAAATTGTATAGCTTGTCAACAAAACAAGTCAAATTATAAAAAACCAACTAGTTTATTACAATTTTTTTCATTTTGAAACAATGATAAGAAGATGTTATCATGGATTTGATATATGAGTTATCAAAAATTTGCTAGGAAATGATTCAGTCATAATTTTTGTACATAAGTTGAGCAAGATGATTCACATCATGCCGTGATAATTTCACAAGTTGCTCAATTGTACTTGGATGCAATATTTGCAAATCAAGGATTAAGCAAAGTTTTAATCATTGATAGAGGTATTCATTATACTAATTTGTTTTGGAAAATTTTGTTTAATTTTTTCAAAACAAAATTATCAACGTTTATGGCTTATCATTCTCAAACTAATGGTTAAATCTATTTTTGACTTCATATAAGTTTGATGAACAATATATGTTAAAACATATATTGTTCATATCCACAGAGTTATTGATTGCTCAAAATTAAAAAAACACCATGCAAATGTTTGATCCGTGCAAGAGTTGTGTAATCTGTTAAATATGATCCAAAGAGCAATTTTTGCTACTATTGTTGTTCAAACAGAGGGTTATTGTAGTTGATTGTTTGGATTATGGCTCCAAATAAAGTAATAAAGTAGTTGGTTTGGACAAGTTCAACAACAATGTTTTGATATGGTTGTAAAGACCTCATCGAAACATGATGAAAGCCCTATCATTTCAATCGAGTTCACATGCAAGTTGTTTAATTTTTGAAACATATGTTGAAGCAAAATGCTATAGTTGTTGATTGTTCGAAATTTTTTCTGTTGCTATAAGAGCTTGATTTTTCTTCAAACCTCCTGTTGAATTCTTCCAAGAAATGATCAAGATTTGCCAAAGAAGTGAAGAATATTTTTCCAATAGTGACAAAAATCAAGATATCGCGGTTTTGAGTAATAGTGATTCAATGAGTATCTCTGTGATTGAAGACAATAGACAAGCGTGACAAGTACTTTCTTTGATTTGACATCGTTGCCATCATTCCCCTCAACAAGTGCAAAAGGAGAGAACCTGTTTAAAAGGATTTTGAATATGTTTCCATAAGCTGTAACGGCATCTACTTCATATGGATTCCTTATTAAAAACTTGGGGACTTCATGGCAGAATTATACTCCAAGTATGCTTCCGAGGACTTCTGTGAAAGTATTCTGTGACCATGGAAAATGCCCTTCCCGTCTACTTTCATTTCGTCCAACACCTACAGCAATCATGCTTTCAAATTCAAAGGATACGATGTCTCAGACATATATTACCTGCAAATATGTCTTATGTGCGAATTTTGAATTCGACATATACATACATTTGTGATGTAATCAATAATTCCTCACAGTAAAAGCGCAACCACCTACCTCACCATCACCATCTCTAATTGATTAAAGATTAGTCCTAACTAAAATTATGGCTATATAGATTTAACATCCGTTGCACATACGGAACTGACTGCCATGGCTTCTCTCTTCCCGGTCCGTTGCATACACGTAACTGACTGCCATGGCTTCTCTCTTTCCGGTCACGTCTAGGAAACAATTGTGTAACATTATAAGTCTCCCACAACCACTCAAGTACGTGTCTGCCATGGCTTCTCTCTTCCCGGTCCGTTGCATACACGGAACTGACTGCCATGGCTTCTCTCTTCCCGGTCACGTCTAGTAATCAATTGTGTATCATTATAAGTCTCCCACAACCAGTCAAGTACATGTCCACAGAGAAGCATGTAGTTTACAGATCGTGACTGTCTGCCTCCCGTGGTGCTCAAATGTTCTACGTCAAGTCTAGAAAATTAAGACATGCCTGGCAATCTCAACTAGCTCACGAAACAATTGCGTAGCATTATAAGTCTCCCACAACCAGTCAAGTACATGTCCACAGAGAAGCATGTAGTTTACAGAAAGTGACTGTCTGCCTCCCGTGGTGCTCAAATGTTCTACGTCAAGTCTAGAAAATTAAGACATGCCTGGCAATCTCAACAAGCTCACGGAACAATTGTGTAACATTATAAGTCTCTCACAACCAGTCAAGTACATGTCCACAGAGAAGAATGTAGTTTACAGAACATGACTGTCTGCCTCCCGTGGTGCTCAAATGTTCTACGTCAAGTCTAGAAAATTAAGACATGCCTGGCAATACCAACAAGCTCACGAAACAATTGTGTAGCATTATAAGTCTCCCACAACCAGTCAAGGACATGTCCACAGAGAAGCATGTAGTTTACAGAACATGACTGTCTGCCTCCCGTGGTGCTCAAATGTTCTACGTCAAGTCTAGAAAATTAAGACATGCCTGGCAATCTCAACAAGCTCACGATGGGAAACCTTTTCTTCTTTGCGCCTTCTTGGTATGGTTTGATTGTGCCATGGGATGGTCCTCCCCAAACCCTTTGCGTTACACGTCTCCTGGTTCCATTTCTTTTCTTCCATCCGGACAAAACTTGATCATTATCTAGTTCCTCGTTTGTTAGGTTGTTGAGGTTTCCAGGCAGACTCCTTTTCAAGTCATTATGTTTCATGTATACACAGCTTTACTGGCAGGGACAGTCATTGATTCCTAGAGGGACAGACCGTTCTTATCGAAATTGCCCCCATTGAATAATATTTTTCTATGCTCGTAGCCGCATATCTCTACGGTTAGCCTGTCCTCTTTGGTACTTCAATCCTGTACTCTCGGTACCTTGGGCTGGAAGATGCGCTTATCATTTCATTGGTGGGTAGAGGCAGTTGACCAATTTGTTGGTCGTTATTGCGTTCTCCGTTCCATGATAGACAATGACAGAAGGATATGTTTCGATTCTCAACCAGGGGTTCCACAGTGACATGGGCAATACCAGTAGCATCCGGCCACTTCTATCCAGACCTCCTCTAGCCGGGCTCAAGTTACTGGAACTGGGCACATTTACTGTATGGATGGGATTAGGTAGATTCAACCATTCGCCAAGCTGGAATTCTCTCCATATCACAGGGCCGACCTCACAGAGAAAGGTGTGGTGGTCTCTACTGATTACTGCTTTTGGTAACTGGGCTGCACGCAGCATCTTGTTGCAATTGTAGGTGTTACTGCGACCAAATCTGACTGGAGTTGCGGCGTGTAAAAGCCACAATTCGGCCTTGAAAATGCGGATCGTGGTTGTAGAAGAATGTAAGAGCTGAAGAGTGCAAGCAAGTATGTGGACATGCTGAAGGAAGAGGCATGGCATGGCAGCTTCAGGCAAGAAAAAGTGAACAGAATTAGAAACCCCGTTTTCCGTGTGTAGCGCTCACGAAGTGACATTGATGAGATCAAAATAGATTGCAGTCAAAGTGACAGCAGCATCAATTCATTATATAAAGTTTACAAACCATGAAATCCGACGGCGTGGCTTCGCAAGTGAGGAGAATCGTCCTCGCCTCTAGAGTATCAGTGAAAGTAGTGCGGTGCGCCTGAAGTAGAAACACTGCCCACAGCATTTAGCACGGACTCTGGGCCGAAATGTGACTAGCCTGGCGGGGGAGGATCAATTGAGAGCCCCACTTCCCTCCTGTCCTTCTACCTTCGAGGGAGGAGGTGATAAGCAGTGGCTCTCATTCACAGGCAAGAGTATCCGATTGAAGAGAACCTCGAGGAAATAAGTCAACTGTATAGGTGATGAAGATGAAGACAATCCCATTCCAGTCCTACTCTGATAGATTGATACACGAGATGAGCAAATTTCTCAGAGGAGTCGGTGCTCATGAGTAATATTCTTAGGGTTAGGGTTCAAAACTCAAGCTTCTCATAGTCTCATTCTTGGAGCACATACGCTATACCGCTAACTTGTGCAAGAAATTTACAACACGAAGTCTATGAAAAGCTCTGGATCTTGAGCGTAGTAATAGAGAATGAACATTGACGTATGGCACAATTAGCTATGTTGGCTGCCTTCGTAACAGCAAAGAAATGATAAGGTTCACAACGTTTCCTGAACCTTATTTGGGTTTCATACCGACCAGAGCCCCGCCCCGGATATTGACCTCAGAGGATATGGAGAAAAATATGCAAGAGCTCCATCACATACTGCTCGATTCGGACACTGCCGGGCCTTGCCTTCTGAGCACATGTATGAAGAAGACTTTTCAATGCCGATTTCAAACTCACTGCAGAGATCATAAAGCCAAAGGCAGCTAAGAGCAGCTGCAAGTCAAAAGTTAAAAAAAGATGGCCCCCGAAGTCTAAGGGCCACGGAATTTTGACCACGGGAAGCAACTTCGAGGTTGAGAGTCGGTGGGAATCATGCCCCCTCCCTTGCTCGTGTCAATTGCCTCTAGCAACTGCACGGCAATCGCCATCTCCGGGCGTTTGTCTGGGTTCGGATCCCAGCACTTCTTCATGACATTCCCCAAAGCATTAGGACAGCATCTGGGAATGGTCGGTCTCAAGTTTTGATGAACCACGGCGTGGGTCATCTCCGTAAAACTGAGGTCGGGATACGGCATGTCACAGCAGTAGATCTCCCACAGACAAATTCCGAAGCTGTACACGTCGCATTTCCGATTGTAGGGTTTTCCATCGAGCACCTCCGGAGCCATGTAGCCCAGAGTACCTGTCTCTCCGGTCATGTCTTTGGGATTCGAGGCTTCCACGCGAGCAACACCGAAATCAGCAATTTTGACGTTTCTCTTGGTGTCTAGTAGCATGTTCTCACTCTTCACATCCCTGTGCACTATCTTCATCGAATGGAGATATTCTAGTCCACGCGACAGATCCAAGGCCAGCTGAATGACCACTCTAAAAGCCAATTTTCTCCGCCGATGTCGGATCAGAAAATCTTTCAGAGTACCACCCGCAAGATACTCCACAACCACGCAGCAAATGTTAGATGCAACGTGAACGAATCCGTCCGAGCCTCTCTCGAAGGAGGGAATTTGCAAGTTCGAGCTCCCCATGGAGGCCCCGATGAATTTCGTTACGTTGGGATGGTCCAGCTGGTGCCAGACTTCCACCTCCTGCTTGAAAGCATTGCGAAATGTTTCAATTTGAGCTCTAGACATGGTGTCCTCCTCGCCCCAATCCAGCAATTTGACCGCAACGTCCTTCCCATCGTAAGTTCCTCGATGAACGGTCCCATAAGTGCCCTGGGCGATCACATTCTTGAGAATCAACTTGCTAGGATCAATTTCCCACTCCTTCAACTTCCTACCCGACTGTGCAGAGGAGCGGCTCCGAAATTGATTGTGCATCGCCAGCGCGGCATCCAGGTCCGCCAAATTCAGAAGATCTGCTCTCACATATTTCGGATTCTTCGAGCTCCCGGATCGTGAGTGATCCAACGCAGACCCAGGGGGATCGGCTGCTGCTGCTGCTGCTCCGCTCGCTTTTGGGACGCCACTCCGCGCAGCCGCTGATGCTGCTGGTGCTCCACCACCACCATTCTCGTCTACGGCCTTCTCCTTGTCCTTCTCCATCTCAATTTTGGGTCCGGAACGTCCAACACCGACCTGCACCGCCTGATTCCCTTGAGGTTGAGGCCGCACTCCTTCTTCCTGCTCATCTTTGCCTTTCAAATCTGACGACTCCTCCCCTTCTGCCACCATATTTATCGACCCTTCGGTTTTCTCCTGCTATGTTCCTGGGAGACCCAACCACCCCTGCAGCCGGCCTGCCTGCCTGCCTGCCTGATCCGCCTCGCGCCCTCGCACTCCCTTCCCGGCCTGGACAGGAAAGGAAAGCAGCCCTCGCAATTAGAAAGACGGAGCCCCACAGCTCTTGCGGCCTCGGGAGATCTCACGGCCTCGCGGGCGCTCGCGTCGTCGCTCGCGCACAGGCGCACACAAACCACCACCCCGGAAACGACCTGCCTGCGCTCGCGCTCCTCCTCCCTTTGCCTGCCCGGCCTGCCGGCAAACTCAAGCACACCAACGACGGCTCGTGCCCAACATGTCGCGCCTGCCCCACAACCTTCGTCCGCCTTCCGCTCACGCCTCCTGCTTTCCGCTGCAGCAGTGCCGGGATTTGTCCTGAGGGCGCGCGGCTCGCGTCATCATCATCGACCTCCTCCGCCTCGGCGAGGCCCCCGACGCACAATTGATCACACTGCTGCGGATCGCGCTGATCTCGACGGATTACACCGAAGTTTAGGGTTGGCCATCGCGATTAGCTCGCTCGCTCTCTCGCTCGAATGCCTCGGGCGCTCGCGCTCCCGGTCCCTGGGTGCGTCAAAGAGCGACCGCCTGCATCGTCGGTTGCGGCCTGCCTCGAGAGCGCGCATGTGGCTCTAGCTGTGGCCCGGCCTGCATCAATCTGCTCGAGCTCGATCGTCGTCCCCCGCCCCAGCACGGACCTGCCCCCTCTGCCCCTCTGCCCCTCTCCCTTCGCGCGGAACTGCCCAACCAGCGTCGCCAAGTCGGACCGGAGTGGTTCCGGGCTGCGCCACCACCGGCAGGCAGCGGCCTCAGCCAGTCGGTGGCTCTGCCTGGGGCCGGGGCCAGCCACCGTGTCGTCTCGTCTGTCGCCTCCCTCCCCTCGCCTCGCCTTGCCTCGATCTGTCTGCCCTGCCCGCCTGCTGACTCACGGAAGCTTCGCAGCGAAATATGCGAACATTTGCTTCCCCCGACCCTCCGAGGGCAGTTTGACGACAGTGCGCTGATCTCACAGCTGGTCGTTATGCGGGGGCGGAACCTACTGCGTCCCTGGCCCTGTCCCGGCCTCCGCCCGTTCCCAACACGCGCGGTTCGAGCCTCCGTGCTGCTTCCCTGCGCTCGCTCTCTCGCGTGCCCGCTTTCTTGCATGGCTTGGACATCGCCACCTCCGCTCGCCGGTTTCTTGCCACACCATCCCAGTTCGGTACCTGTACTTTTTCTCGGGAGCGCGGTCTACTGGGACTTCGGGCCCAGTAGCCAGGCAACATGTAGCCTCCGGCCTAGCGCCCGCCAGTAACCGGCTGCAATGAGTGGTAGCAGTGTTCCGACTTCCACCCCGAGACATGCCTAGGGGCTCCTGTCATCCGATGGCTGACGTGGACGTTCGTGGCCAGCCTCCCACCCGGTGACCTCGGGTCTCCTCATGACGGACCTATACTGTGTCGGCACTTGGCATGCAACTGCGTTGCTCTGATGTGTGTGTGGCAAGGGCGATGGAATGCCCAACCCGAGTCACAAGCGGACTGGGCCAATCGAGCCACCGTTAGGTTCGTTGGGTGGAAGGGTGAATGGTTGTGATACCATGTTGCAACTTGGTACAAATACTCCCTTTCTACCTAATCCCTTCTCTGCTTTTGTTTTGTCTACTACATAAATATCCATGTGCGAGCGAAGTGCACTCTCGCGGAAGTTCACATTGACATTTGTTTGTTGCTTTGGGATCACAAAGACTACTTAGGATGTACATCGGGGTTGGTAAGCATCTCTACCATCTTTACATCTGGTGGTGAAATTTAACTCTATGTTTCCTTCATACCTCTGGTGGTTTTTCAGAGTTGTTCATATGAATATATTAGGGATGATTTCAATTTGTGTTAACTACTCCTTTTAAATATGGACAATTACTAAAGCATTAGATCAAATCATATAACATCGTATCCAATGTGGATACGATGTTATACGATGTTTCGTTCTCAATAGTTATTAATTCAATTTATTTTGGGAATTTTTGATATTATTACTACTGTATTGATGTTATTTTACCTTGTAGCTTCAGAGTGTTATACATTTCCCTGTTATCAAAATATGATGAGATGCCCAGAAAAGACCATGTCATGCACTTTTACATATAGACTCTCAAAGCCTACCAGATGAAACTTGGTGATAAAAAGCATGACTTTTATATGGTCTGCATGATCCACATTCTGTCTATCATCGTTTAAGGAATGAATCACGTCGTGAAGCAATAGACATACGAACTTTATTACGAGGAGTGTTCAAGATACTACACACTAATTAACAAGCAGTTCCATCTTTTAAGCATATTGTACACATACCAATTAATACATATACATCAGTCTACAGAACACACTAGCGGTCACTATAAGGTAACTAGTCTGTAAGCAACACTTTTTCATTGCTTGCCTAAGTGAACTTTAGAGCAATCATATGATGCTCTTGTGGTGTGTATACTTTATAATAAAGATATAGCCTGAAAATTTTGCCCTCAATGGGACATATGTCACTTTCTGATACTATTGGGGCCGAGTCCTATTTTACCCCTTTGGATTCATTTATATGGTCTTGGTGGGGTATTTCCATCTGTAAGCCATATTACTTGGTGTACTTTACATCTTTTGTTTCCTTTTGAAATTCTTCTTTTTAAGATTGATAAGCTGTGTGCCACTAGAACAAAGGTAATCTGTGTATTTTAGTGCGACCTTATGCACCACCCTCTCCATTTTTTGAAGCCGACCAGACATCCGGTTACATTCCAACCGGATCTGACGGAAAGGAGGAGAATTTCAATTATTTGTATCTCCTTACGAAACCAGAGGCTTACTAACTCTGCAGTGTCGGTTCTATTTTTGGCTCCAGTCCTCGCTAATAGAGACAAGACTAAGATGGAAAGGCAAATCTTTGTACGCCTGGGTGTGTGCAAATCTCGCATGTATGTAGGGAGACAAAGACACATTTCGAACCATTTAAGCGAGATTAGCTGGATACTATGGCAGCTGTGCTCCGTGCTGTCCAAATGAGGTGAGTGAATAAGTTCGGTCCTTGATCTTTCGGGCAAGAATAAAACATCAGAGTGACGGGTCAAGCGACTTTCATATCGTCCTCCTCAAACGACAGATGCTAAATGACGCACTCATGTTGGAGAAGAACATGGAACTGCATAGTCATGCCCTTTCTCAGCTCGTCTGTTTCGAGAGAATTTTACAAGTACATCTCTCCGGTAGAAGTGAGAGCTTTACAGTTGTGCATGACGTCTAGAAGTGTGCATAATTTATTTCTCAAACTAGGACATTCAGTTTGTTTCTGTGTACCTTTTAGAGACCAGATTTTATAACCTACAATATTTCTCCCTTTGGCCATTTTAACTAGATACTAAACACACATAATTTAGTATTCTCTTCTGTGTTCTAATCATCTGATGTTTAAAGCAGGATTTAGTGAAGTGTACGTGCGATTGCAATGTCCTTAAACAAACATCTGCAGAGATTATGTAGGATATAGCCAATTATATACTGAGAATACAGTGTTCTGCCCACATTGACGGATGGTAGGGACAGATGAAGGTGGATGGAGAAAAAAAAAGCTACTGTCTGGGGTTAAAAAAACAACAACAACAAGATGATATTCGTCCGCCAAAGAATTAGCTGTTGCAGGAGTATAAACCGTTCGGTCAAAGCTGTACTTGCAGTTCCTTGGAGTGTGCAAAGAGACAGTTTAGACAGATTGGATGTTGCTCGAGCTAAGCGGATCCAAGTTCCCATGCTTCTGTAATTAAGTTTTATGCATCATATATTATAGTCGATGTAAAAGCCTCCGTCAGCGGACTCCGCACTGGGATGTTCTGTAATCTCTTACTCGTGCTTACTACTTTTGTAAGACGGAGAGAGTACTGTTATATCGAAGAAGTAATAAGGGGACTGTGTCTCTTGCGAGCTCACAGTAGCGAGATTAGATCAACCTTCCCTGAACTATGTGGATGCACATCGCCCATCCCTCAGCGCACACTAACCTACTCTAGAACATGTATGGTTATTTCTGATGAACTCAAATGTCAATATTGAAATGAATAATTTTTCGCACACTAAACTACTCTAGAACATGAATGGTTATTTCTGATAACCTCAAATGTCGATATTAATTATTTTTTCTCAAAATAGATAATTTCAGCGCCAATCTACATCAAGTTCCACATTTCACTTTTTGGTGAAAATAAGAGAACGAATATAAGAGGCCGAAAATGAACATATTTTCTTCTCTTCGACTATTCGCTTTAGAAAAAACCTAACCGCTTTCCCGGGCGTCTTGGTCCGAATGGACAGCCTCCCTAAGGGCCTTTTTTCCTCTCCCTCTCCAATTGGTCGAGCAAGTATCATTGTCACAGCTATCCATACAACAAACCAGGAAATTTGAATCTTATATGCAGCATTTTTTACGTTGAATAATTGTATATATAGTTTAAAAAATTAACTGATGAAATCTTGAAAATGTAAATGTTCAAACATCTATGTAAATGACTTATTCTAATGAACAATCTGAATACCATTCACTGAAAGATAACTTAAAAAATTATAACATGACTAAAATATACTCAATCACAAATTGTTAAGTTTAACACAAGATAGGCTTGCGCTTTAGGGTTCAGATGGTCCGTTATGATTACTGAGAGGAACCCTTAACAGTATTATTAAAGTTCACTGATTAGCCTAAAGACGAACCACATTAGCTTTTAGTGGTTTCTTGTGTAAATTATCTCGTATGTTTCTACAATTGATATCAAAGCAAAGGTTCGCAAAGCTTGGATTGTGTTAAGATCATAGTTGTTGACTGGTTTACATTGTTTCGCAAGGTGGGGACTTTTCATAGCTGTTTGGCTTTACAAATGATGCTTCAAGCATTTTGCAAAATTTTTATGACATCTGATTTGCGCATGAGGTTTCAGTGAGCAATGATTGATCACTTGATGAATTGATCAATGAAATTTTTGTTAGATGCATGAACACGCTTGCTCTTGCCAAGCCTACAAAACCTATAAGTTATGTAAACAATAAAATTGTACACAATCATTGACGATAAATTATTCTTGATGTAAACAATAAAATTATAAACAATCATTGATGATGTAAAATTAAGTGTTCATAACAAATGACTTCTTGTTGCAATCTAGATAACAATGCTTGAGAGTGTATGAAAGACCGAGCAAGGAAGTGAAAAAAAAGTACACAAAGCAAACTGAATATTTTACTAAGAAGAAAGCAATGTGTAGTTGTTGTTAGTTACATGTTGCAATCTAGATAACAATGCTTGAGAGTGTATGAAAGACCGAGCAAGGAAGTGAAAAAAAAGTACACAAAGCAATCTGAATATTTTACTAAGAAGAAAGCAATGTGTAGTTGTTGTTAGTTACATGTTGAGTGCAGTGATGCATCCAACCTAAAATAAATTGACTTGATGAAGATCGTAAACTAAGTACAAACAACAAGAGACATCTAGATGTATCATTTTAAACCATACAGCTAATGTTCTCCTCGCTGAGACACTAACAACATCTCACAACATCTTTCTCAAGCAAAACATTCTTGTCCAAAATGTTTACTCCAAAGAGGGTGAGAATGATTGTTGTTTGTATCTGCGTGGTCATAAAAGTGCTAGCCTTCTTGTGTGGAGTCGTTCAAATGAGCCTTGAATAACTATCTAGGTAGATGTCCAATAGTATTGATGTGGCTCGATGGATATATGTATAAAATTCTTTGATACATATGTCAAGATACAGCTGACACTTATTGATCTTAAGCTACAACACTTGCTTGTACTTTAACTCATTAACGTAGAGCAATAAAATCTATATGCTTTTTAAACTTATGGTGTGGTAGAAGTTTTATGAAAATGTTCATTAGATTGTTATCTGTAAGTATGTAATCAAGTCAAATTTCCATCTCTAAAACTTGTTGTCTCACAAAGCAATG